GCTAGATACTCACTTATTTTAATAGCAAGGCCAGATTTTGGTGGTTCCCCTACTACAGGCAGAATAGCTCAAAGTTGCTTTCATTATAATTGCTGTCCAATTGATTGATGACACTGGATTAAAAGCTACAGAGGAACTGTAATGGGTTTGGACCATGTCATATATTATCTCATTTCTTTTCGTTGAAGTGTGAGAATCCAAAATAAACTCGGGCGTCCTGAATGATCTGTAAAGTTCTCCTTAGCAAGACTGATCTTTGATCTACCTTTTCTGTAGATCAGGAAAGGTTCTTATGCTTGTGAGGGTTTTTTTTTTTTTCTGGATACACTGACGATGATTTATGTTCTGTTACTACACAGGTAAAATCCTTTAAATTCTTCCTCCAGAGATCAATTTGATTATGGAAAAGAATACTGCCTGGTACCATAATGGCATGGGCAAGAAACTAAAACAGGTGGATGCCCCACAGCAGTGCTCATAGCAAAGCAACTAAGAATAGTAATAGTGGAGCAGCACATCTGCTGTTGACTTTACCGTAACATAACCTTTCCAATGCTATCTTCAAATCTATGCTCATGTCTGGTTTCCCTGCAACTTTGTTTGCATCCTTCTCTTTCTTTTTTTATTTCTTTGCTTCATGAGATAGGCTTCTTCCTGAAGTATAATGGTGGTATCAGCCTAAAGGGCTGAAACTGCATCTCGAACCGCAGCAGGCAGTACGTCTGTCTGATTGATCATCGCAAAGTGGAGTGGCAGCAGGAGGCAAAGTCATCGGAGCTGAATGTTCTGAGAAGGCCGTTTTTGCACTGAGATTAAGTTACCATGAAATATTTACGCTCACTTCTGCATGTGCTTTATTGTCTGTTGGATGTGTGCTTAGAAAGAGTTTGCCTTACCAAAATAATACTGTCATCACTGTTATGATGCACAAGCTAGTGAGTTTATGCCAACAGTTAATTTTTGTTCTTAAATAAAGCTTTTTATGCTTATGCCTTGTCATTATCTTTCTGTGTATTATTTCTATACAACTGTATCATATATATTTACATGATCTGGTTGTACTTATTGCACACAGTTCTATGAGAAATTCATTTGATGCAATATAATTCACCCTCAGTACATAAAATAAAGCAGTAATAATGATATTATATGGGACCTTTCCAATTGATTCACCTTTTCAGTGAAATGTAAAAGAAGCCCCCCTATTACAAATTACTTTAAATGGAAGAAAATGTCCTAAAATACAGGTATATGAAAATTTTCCTTAAATCCTGTTTTTTCAAGCTGAGAGCACAACCTGCTTAATTTGTCACTGCAAAGACTGTCCACTGCAGAAAATGCAGAATGGTTTTGCAATAATTATTTTCTACTTTAACATGAATTAGATGTAAGGGTCAAAGAAATTAACATCAGAGTACCATTTAATCTAGGACATTAATCATTGTTAACTCATCTAATTTTACAATTAAACTGAATATTCAATCTGTCAACCCTTCAGAGTATCCAATCTTCTTGTTCAATCTTAGTATTTGTTTTTATTTAGATAAAAGTTTATTATCAGGAAGCATGTCACTGAACTGTTAATGTAATCAATTCAATTTTATTTTCAAGCCATTCTTGTACTTTACTTTACAAAGTACAAAATTAGATATGATTAGATAATTAATATAGTTTGGTTAGACTGTACACTATTCACAGTGCTAACAGGAACATGAAACAATGTTATTCTCCAAAACATTATCCTGGGGTCCAACAACAAGCTGGAGACATGGCAAAGAAAGAAGAGTGAAGAATGATAATGCACAAAGCCTTTATCTCTGTATTGCTGGTTCCATTTCGGCTGGTATTAATAGCAGCTGAATAATTATCACAGGGATAAGCAGTAGCTGACTGCAAGTGAACAAAAGTACGGTTTCACAAAATTGCCAGCTACAGAAATTCCTGTGGTAAGGCTGCTATGACACCAAGTTGAACAACCAGAGCACAGAAATATGGCATAGCCAGGACCCCAGTATACCTTGCTATACCTAACAGGGTTCTCTTCCTGATCAGCAATGAAATGAGATAGGCTGGTAATGCGAAGTCTGTTCTCTGATGCCCTCTGGGAGATAAGGTAATCCACTGCCTTGAGCTAAAACTTCAAAACATAAACTACCCAGAGGAAAGACTTCTCAACTGGCAGCACCTCCCAGCATGCAGCCTGGCACACCTGACTGAGGCTAATGACACTGCAGTTTGCAGACGACTAACTGAGGAAGAAAAACCAAAGATTTTTCACATGGATATGATAAACACACTGAGTCTACTTTTCCACAAAACCAGGATACAATCTTTGCACTGCTGGGCAGCTACCAGAACTAACGAGTCGTACCACACTTACTGCATAATTTCAGGAAGAGTATAACCACATTTTATTTTAGAGGACAGTTTCTGAACATGGAAATGTACAACCCAGTAGGGTACCTGACCTCCCAGCAGAACAAGTTTTGCTAGTGTTTGAAAAATAGAAAGAAGTATTTGTAAACATCAAAGGATGGAATCAACTGTATGAAAATACAAAGAATTGTTTCTACCTTGCCCCAGAAGGTTATAGAAGGATGCAAAGTATAAAATACTATATTTTAAAATAAGTAAACTGTATAACTTGTTCAGTTTAGGGGAGACTGTCATTAAACACAAGTCTTTTGTTGATCCTTTTCTCCAGGAACGCCATAATATCTTTTGAGGGAAGATCCCAGTCTTCCTTCTACCATTTGTATATTTTTTGAGTGATATCAAGGCTGACAGATGAATATTTATTATTGGGAAATCCAACAAACTTCAGCAAAACAACAAATTTCAACAAAAACCTCACATGAATTCTTCACTTGGGTTAGGTTTAGCAATTATTAATAACCTATCTTGTTTAAGAAATGCTGTTTCTAGTTCAAGAAATGCTAAATACAGGAAAAGATCCAGCATCTGAGACTGTCAGCTGGCTTACTACTGGAAATTACTACTCTGAAGCGTTCAGACATCATTAAAGGTGAGAATAATACAACACAGTTATGTTCCTTTCCCTTTCTTTTTCTCCTGTCCTCTATATTAAATCAGAAATCAGAGAAGGATATGACCTCACAGGCAACCTACTTTTTTCTTCTGCCAGTGCAGACTCCATCTCTACAATACTACTCGTTTCTGAGAGCTTTTCAAAGACTGTCTTTAAAATATTCTGATGGTTTTTCCTTTGTTAATTTTGATATATTATGTTACAGTCTAACAGCTTCCTGTTAGTAAGGTTTTCCTGATAGTCAGCCTGAAGCTTTTTCTCTCATAATTCATTCTCTTAACTGTAAATTTCTTTATTCAGATTCAGTTCTATTTATGCCACACCAGACTGTATCGTTCTTCTGTTATTATAATGTTATGTTTGAGCTAAAGTATAATTTTTTCTTTCAACTATTTCTCTAACTGAAAGGCAAAATCTTAAACTAAAGTGAATACCTACAGTACAAATAATTTTTGCCCCAAAATATCTGTTTGCAAATTTCTGAGGTTTATCTTATTTTATTTTCTGTTTGTTTTCACGAGCCTTCATAAAAAAGAAACACAGTCTTTTTGTTTTTCTTGATATTTATACTGCCTACTTATTCATTACTACCCCGAAGATCATTAGGAATGCTTGCTTTCTCTTCCAGATTAGTGAAGATATTAAGAAAATACACAACACTACACTATGCAAAAAATATTGTAATAGGACAATCTGTCCTCTTCGTATTTTTAATACTTTGAGTTTACTTGGCTTATTTTTCCTCTCCCTGTAACCCATACTAATAAAATTTATTTAAGTAAGTTTTGTAGAATTATATTTATCTTCCTAATATAAGTTATTAATAAATCTGGGACCACTAGTTGGTTTTAGTTCAACTCTTCTCTTGAGAGTATACTATGTTGCAGCATTCTTTCATTTTATGGTAACATCAAATTAGACTTCAGTGTTAAGTATTGCAGTTATGGCCTGACATTTACACAGTCATCTTTTCCTTCCTTTTCCACATTTTCTATTGAGTTGTTATATTTAATCCACAATTACATTTAGAAATTCACACCTATAAATGATTTTTTTTCACTTAAGGCAAAGCCAATCTTACTTTAAATCACTGCAAAAAATAATAAAAAAAGTGTCATTTTTCTGTCACTGCAACTGCACATATGGCTTGCCAACTCCTTAAGGAATGATCAAATTGAATCAAATCTCTAAAATTCCAAACAATGAAGGCAAAATTTTTCTTCAAAACCACAGTCAATTCATAGTTACTCTTGGTTTGTCCAAGTTGCACAGTCTGTAGTGACCCAGACTGACTACAGCAGCCGTAAGTGGTTTGGATTCAATGCAGCATAAACACATGGATAAGGCCACATGCAAAGTCCCACCTGGCCCAATAAGACCCCCTGGAATGGGAATACACAAGCAGCTGACCGGAGATGAAGCAGTTTAATGGACAAGGAACTACTGGGGATTACTTTGTACACAGACAACTGATTATATCCGTGCCTTAACTTTCTACATGCCCCTCTACTCTGCCCATATTATCAGTATCCAAACTCCCATTATCACAACAGGGAAAAGTTCACTGATATTGAAGTGGTGATAAAATTAGGTAAATAAACTGGTTAATGCTAATAATTTTTTGTGTCCTATTATCCCATTTGTTCTCATAGGAAAACTACAGGTAGACTGTGTACTTGATTCAGTACGTAAATACAGACTACGATGGGAGTCTTCATCAGGGGTCTCAAATATGTAGCTGAATGGACCTTAGCTGCTCTGGGAATGCCACTGTCACAAATAAAACAGTGGGGTGTCACTTACTGTAATGCTGCAAATCAAATAAGGTCTAAGAGGTAATTCTTTTTAGTCCCATTCCCCTAATCCAAAATTTAAGGGAAAAAATGTCCTAATATAATGAAACAACAAAAAAAGAAGCAATTAAATTAAATAATGCTTTGCAAACACTTACAGGCCATAAATCTGTGGAGCAATTTCCAGTCGGTTCAGATGCATGTACAGCTCAATATCATGTTTCTTCAGCAGATGATCCTGAATTTGGTTTACCTTTGCTACAATAGCAATAGATGGGCCTAAGTCCTGTGGCCTTGCAAATGGCATAGGTGTAATCATCACATCTTTCTCCTGCAGACACAGAAAAGAGTAGGGAAAAAAGAAGATTTATTGTCTAAAGGGACTGCGTACAAGAGATTTGGTTTGTTGCAATCAGTGGCTTCCAAATAAACACAGTAATAACTCATTTCTTTTAAAACAAAAGAGGAATTTCAAGTATCCACTTCTGCAGACGGTATTGTGGGATTCCTCTTCCCAGGAATGCCAAGGAGTGCCCCTCATTTCAGCACATCAATTTTTACGTGCATGCTTTACTTTTCATGCTCCAACAAAGTGTTGACAGCTTTATTTTAGCTTTAATATCAGCAGTCTAAGTAAGTCCAGAACAAAGCAGATGAACAGTAACTCAGTACAGAACACATGCCCTCAGAGGACAATAAATTGCATATCAAATAGGAAATAACTTCCTTTCAAATAAGCCTTTCTAAAAAGGCTTCCCTTGCTCAGAATATCTGGTGGTTGTACCTCAAAATCTACACAGCTTTGATAAAGCATTAGAAAATTTTTAAAAGAAAAAAGAAATTGAACAATGAGATGAACTTGATGGTTAGAAGGCGATTGGTTGGACCTATAGGTTGTGCAAACTATGTCATGATCTACAATATGACACACACCAAGTGAAAACTAGTGGAGTATTAGCAACCTTGAACATTATACTGCTTTAAATTTGTTCTTCTTGCAAAAGAGCGAAGAATTACTGAAAACGAGACAGAATGCTGGAAAGAAATGCAGCAAGCAATGAACGGACCTGAATACGAAACATGTAAAAAGGACGATGAGAAATAAAAAAGAACAAGTCAAACCTATCAAGAGAAGGATGGGGGAACAAGGAAATAGAGAATTAAGCTGTTAGAAACAATGTTAAAGTTATAAAAGAGGGCAAATGGGAACAGTAAGAAGATTTTTACAATGACTTTGTTGCATTTTGTCATCATAACTTCTGACCTCAAACCTCCACTTTAAAAAACAGTTCTGTTTTTCTACCTTTCTGCTCAGTATATTGACAGAGAAGCATTATCAAGCTCCAAGGGTTAATAATTTCAGAAGACTTCATTCCAGTTTAAACTGTTGAAAGACAAATTCACTTGGTTTGATACAGTGAAAAGAGCATTATTTTTAACATTCAATAACAAAGAAAAGTTTGTTTTTGTCATATAAACTATCCTCAAGGTTGTTTCTTTTGGTTATAGTCCCTTTTCAGCCCCATTCTCTCCATATCAGCATGTTAGGAAACAGGAAGAAACGTACCCAAAATCATTTACAACATGGTTTAACAGTCAAGTGGGCAGCGAACATTTAATAATTTCTACCAAAAAAGCCCATTACTTATGTTGTTCTCCTTTGCTTGAAATACTTTTTGTTAATTATTCCATTTCTGTACTGCAGAAAATATAGTATGATGCTGAGCAGTGATTTCAGGTAAAATGTTTCTATTTAAGGATCTGATTGATTATAAATTGTATCTTAAAATCTGCTTAATTGTTACATTGCTATGGCAATTGCAGCAAAGGGACTGATCTGTCTATTATAGTATGGTGGTTTTGCCATGCTGTTGTGGTACCAAGACATATTCATTTAAGATGCTCTTGCAAATCACTTGACAAAAGCTCCCTCATACTGTCAAATAAAGCTCACTGAAATGGCACGCATTCATTTAAAAATCTTTGCTGTTCTAACAAATCGGAATTTAAAATAAAACATCTAGCATCTCAGAGGCTAATAAGCAATGTTGCTACTTAGATAAACACTGAAGTTCTTCACAGCTACAGGTATGTTAAGAAAGGATATTTCTCCTACTTTCTTTTTTAAATTATTCTATTAACTCCTTTATTACCAAGTCAGGCAACCTTCTTTCTACTTTGATTTTTATTTCTCCATTGTATGGCTATTTTCTATAGTTTCAGACTCATTTCGTTTCATGGTCATATGCTAGAATGCCAAATACTGAAAATGGGTATCTGCTAATCTCCTTCTATTCAGAAACCCACTCTTAAAGTATGATATGATAACATTACCTTAACATTAGGGTTAGGGTGCCAGTCTATAGTAATTTTTTGCATAAACACATCAATTTATCTTTGAAACGAATCATAGAAGTCTGTAACTCGACAGATTCGTACACTATATTCTATCAGTGGCACTCATCTGTGGTATGAACTTTATTCTGGTTTATTTGAGTTAGACTTTAACTTCACCTTGGCCACTGCATGCATTTGTAACTCTGATGACTCAAAAGATCTATGTATTTAAACTTTTCTTGATTATATAGAACCTTGTATGAAAATCTCAACATCAGAATCTCTCTACTTAATTGAATCTGTAATGTGAGATGACTAGCTAGTGACTCAGATTAGTCTTTACATCATTAGCTGCCTGTGGGTTTAAAGCCATCTTTACAACATTACAAGACAAACTATTAAACACTGGCTCAAGTGTCAAAAGATTCTGAATATCAAAACTAATGCAAGCTTCCTCTGTGCCAAAACTGGAGTTATTTGTCACTTGCAGCATTTGTGCACCTTGGCATAATGCAGCACTGACACATTGCTGACTGTCAGACTGACTGACTATCAAACACAGCTAAGTGCATCCAATAGTATATGCTGGCTTGCCATTTTTAAAAAATACGAGATAAGTAAATGGTATCCATCAAAATGCAGTTTATCAGCATCTCAGAAATTAACCCCATTAACAGAAATCTTCAAAGCATGACAGAATCTGTGAGGACAGCAGCTGCAACCAATAACAAAGCCTCGCCTGTCCATGCCTCCTGATTCGGTGCACTCTACCAAGAGCTCGGTGGATGACTAGAGTGCAACGATGTCATGTCTGTTGTCTCCTCTCATGCAATTTGGTTGAGAAAATGACAATACCTCTAGTCAGTTGAAACTGCTCCAAAAAATCACATAGCTGGTGTGAAACAAACAGCCCAAACAGAAAGATGCTCAAATAAACTAATACAGCCAAGCCGCCAAAATGTTTAACTAGAAATGACTAACAATGCCTGAGCCTAAAGCACAAAAGCCAAGTGGACATGACACCTGCCCATACTCACTATATATTAATTTGCCACATGCGAGGAAACACCCTTTTTCTTTTTGTGAGCTTCTAAGTCTTGGAAAAAACTTGAGTGCATGTGTTTAGTCATCTATTGCTAACACGAAATACAAATGATCAATCCCAAAAGAATGTGGTTCACAATAAAAAGAGAAAAAGAGGGACGGCTCAGAATGTGCTATATCATTTATAGGAGAGCGCCAGATTCACCTCTACGAACAGTTTAAATATGAATACCAGTGAAATAAGTCTGAAAAAATTAGGTAAGTATTAAGAACAAAGTCACGAAATCCTGCCCCAAAACATTACCTATCACAACACAAACTGGAATGGTTAGTAGTCAATACTAATACAATTTATATATTCATGCATTTAGGAAACAAATGCTACAGCAGTAAAGAGAGGCTAGGACATAGAACAAGTATAAACCATGGACAGATTTCTCTCATTAACCACTAGGGAATAGAGAAGCTGGAGAAGCTCCTCTAATGGCATTTGGGAGTAATGGAACCAACTGTTAGAGGCTATAAAATGTAACATGTCTCTCAGAGCACATGCTTTCATTGCTTCCTTTGTGAAGATTCAGACATTATTATGTAGCTAACCCTCAAAGTCATGATTGTAAAAGGCATAGGTACAAGAAAGAATTATTAAAGATTATACATGTTTGCAAAGAACAAGAACAAACAACTAGATTTTAATCCATTATCTTTGCATTGTTAATTTTTTATGTCATGAAAGGACTGGAAAGGGCAATGTAAACTTTCACCTTCTACCCAAGTACTGCAAATCTCTAAGCAGACCTAGTTATTGCCTGGAATAAAATTCAACCTCAAACTCTACCACCTCTGTCACAGAAATTGTAACAAATACATTTGAATACACTGAATTTTGAAAAGCTACACTCAGAGAAACATCTCACAGCCTCACCGTTGAAATAAAAGTGACTGCGTGGTAAGTTCAGAAAATTTGTATCTCATGTGCTTTATCCCTAGCTATTGAGAATTATATGAAAATGCACATAGTAATTTATAAGTGTAGATAGCTTAGGCCAAGATGCCAATGCTCCACAGCTATTAAAATATACACACAGATATATTTACATATTTAAAGAAAATAGATGCTTTTATGCAAGTCTTGGCTGAACATCTTTTTCTTCAATAGACTGGTAAAACCACCATTCAAACTAGTACTCCCTAATTACAGCTTGCGAATACAGGTTTTGGTGCACAGACATCCAAACCCAATTAAGTTCCTATTAGTTTTTTGTTAACTCTAGATACCCACCCCACTGTCTATGTAAAAAATGCTGAAAATGAATCAAGCTGAAACTGATTTTGGAGGCCAGCTCTTTTAGGCTATAATACACTGGCAATACCTCTAATATTGCTGTGTTTTGCTAGAGTCTTCTAAATATGCTCCATCACACAAATAATTTTTCAGAATTATAAAAAGACAGAAATATATAGAGGGAAAGAGACAGTAAAAAAAGTATTCAAAGAAAATCTTGAGCAATTGACTGAGGGAATTGTCCCTCATGCCATACATGAAAAACAGTTTCAGGCAAGGACTAGATGGTTTCTAGAAAGTCCCCACAATGGGGAGTTCAGTAGAACTAAACTCACAACACAGCAAAAGCTTTCTTATGAAAAGGAGAAACGTACTAAATACAGTGGTGTCTGTACCAATACACAAGAGATATGAAGGCACAGACTTTCCCCCTGTTTGAATAGCCTAAGTTTAAGAAGAAAAAAAGTAAGGAAATGGAGCGATGATGTCAGGGAAAGATGCACTCTGACCTTTAATGGACAGTCTATGGTTAAAGGTTTGCTTTCACAGCAAATTGTTTATATTGTAAACAGCTGAAAAAATTCAAGCCTCAGTATGTTAAACACTGCCTACAGGCATTTATTTAACACGACATTTGCACAGATTTTGGGCACACAGAAGTGCCTATGACAGGCACTCTCTCCAATGCTACAAACATCACCTGTACGTAGAAAAATCTGTGTTTGCACATTTGTTTTTTGATTACCAAGTGATCTTTTAACAGATAGGAACTCTCACCTGGAAGACTTTCCTCAAGAGCTTATGAGGAAATTCTGAAGAACCTTTGTAAACTTGTTCGAGCCTGCTTTAAAACCAGGTTGTTTAAGAGATGTCTTATTAGCTTTGAATAACTTCAATCATATTAAAAGTCATACTTGCTTAAAAATACAGTAAATACATTTTAAAACAATAGTTACCTTCTGACTGTCATGTTCAAAAGTTGAAAACCAATGTTCTGCAGTTTTCATAAGACGTGTGAACATTGCACTGAAAGGGAACAACCAAGAAACTCGGTGTAAAATAATGTATTACAAATAAGAGCAAATTAAATGTAAAGAAAGTTGTTAAAACTTACTAGGCATCATGTTCCAGATATTCAGGATTCAAAAGAACTTTCATTTCCTCACTGAAAAAGGCAACAGAGAACAATCCAAATGTGAATGTTTATTTTTGGTCAGCGTTCTGCATGTACTATCATGTATTTATAAGCCAACTTTCATATAAAGTGCAAATGAGAAAACTAGCCTTTTTAATTAAAAAGAGCAACTCCATTGAACAAATGAAGTCTTTCCTTTTTATAAAGATCAAAAACAAATTAGCTGCCTTGTCTGTACTACAATGAAGTAACCATCTAATTATTCCAAATAACAAATTACTGAATGTCACAATGTATTATTTGAATATGCTTGATCTAGAATAATTGATTGCTGCACAATCTATCACTGTTCGTCCCAAACAAAAAAAAAATATGGTTACTGGTCAAATATGCAGTATCAAAACATTAATTTATTTTGTTTTAATAGCCTGTATTTTTATTGTACTTTAACAGCAATTAATCAGTGACAGCACCTCTTTTCCATCTTTGCTGCTTAGCTCTACTTTTTCAATGGGGATGGAACAGAATGCTGCGCATTACACATGGTTATTTTAAGTTATTTAGCACTGAAGAGCATCTTCTAGGTAATTTCAGGATATCTAGGGACAGACATTGAATAAAAACATACACTTGTAAATAATCATCTTTATGCTTAACTGCCTTTGGACAGGCATGCTGAGGGGCACTAGCAGAGGTTATATTATATAGTACACATAATTACATTGTTTTTTATTCACTGCTGGACTCCAAAAGAGAATGCAAAAAACCCAAATGAAATGTCCAAAATATCAAAAGAAGAAAACTTTTTTTTGGTGTGTGTTATTTGTTTGTTTTTTAATAAAAATAAAAGGCTTGTGCATAGAGCAAGAAAAAAGCATCTGAATTTAGGTGACAATCATATGTAATGTAATATTTTATACATATGTGTATGATTGCATTTATATCTACATAAACACATTTGAATGAAATGGAAAATCAATAGCTAAACCTAATGTTACTACTAGGTCAAAGAACAGTCAGATATTGCAGCTACAACATTGCAGGTGACAAAAGAAGTATCAATCACAACAATTTGTCGACACTGATTATCTTCCCTTTTAAGATACGAGGAGCTAGAGGTGGTGGGAACATGTCTGCTCTATGAGTGTAGTTCCCTACTCTGTCTCCTCACTGTAATGACAAAAATGAAACCACTTCTGGCAATAAGAATGAGGTGAAACTGCAGGTAAGCTTTTTGATTAAGGTTTTTCCTAGGTTTCTTATCTCCCCATTTTTTCGCCAATTAATATCTGTGAAAGGGACAATGTCTAAATTTCAGAACCTGCAGTAGGGTAAGATGAAATAAGGACAGTCCCATCTAAGCATGAGGATTTCTGAGATCAATTTATGCATTATAAACAAAGAATTATGGAACACATATTTATAAGTTATATTCCAACCATCTTACTTATTTTTTTCAAGAAAGTGGGGTTTTAATACTATACAAATAAAACACAATGCTTGCCTTGGTTGTGCAGCTTCACTGGCATGTGAAAAAGCCTGGTGGTCACAATGTAGGATAAAGACAATGGGAGCTAAAAGTTCATGCATACCCTAAACACAAAAGGAAGCAAAAGTATAATTAGATTTTTCAGTCATATAATAGTTCCTAATGCCTAGCATCAGGCAGACAGCAATATTAGGTGAAGACTAACTAAAAGGATGAACATTTATGTTCCTAACAGAATGGTTTCATAATGAATGGCTTTTATCTTAAATTCTGATTAAATCCAAGTGTTCATTCTTCTATAATATACAGAAGCAAGTTATTCTCCCTTTTTCTGGCACAACGCACAACAAATCCGCAATGGTAGGCAACCCTGCACCTGGCAGTTTACTTCAAGATCTATGTTCATAAATATGAATTTTATTTATGATAATTATAATCATGATCTACAGTACAGAGATCTGCAATAGGGACAAATTACAAAATTTAAAATTATTTTTTATTTTAGAATGTTCCAAAAACATAGATAAAAGTGTAACAGTATGCTTCAAAGGAGACAAAAGCAGCTATTTAGGAAAGAAAATGAAACTCCCATTTCTAAGGACATGAGAATTAAAGTAAGTTTTTGGATTTTCCGGTTTTCTAAGTTGTTATGACAACATTCAAAATAAAGTCATTAAGCAATGATTAAACAATGCAATGGAGCCCCGGTACTGTTCCACTGGAGAGTACTACTTACGTATGCAATCTATATTAAGCTAGAGGAAAACTATAGAAACATGCAGGAATCAGAACAGAAAAAAATGGGTGGACAGTTAAGGACTTGGGCCAGCATTAGAAGCATAGCTGGGCCACCCGTCGCTACTTTTACCCAGAGCTCAGCAGGAACAAAAGCTTGATTCACCTGGGGCTTGTCAAACTGTTACCAGGAGCAGAAGCAAACGCTTCAGGAAACAAGCAATCCAGTTGGCAAGCAGCAATGCACTGACAGCTACAACTACAGCCTGCAGAATGAAACCTCATCTTCAGCAGACATTTGGCTCCTTCCCTCAGGTTAGATGAGGGAAAAGGAAGACTTAGGGCTTCACAACTGGAGAATTTGGTTACCTCAGAGGAGTTGGGATCCCAGTGGTGGACTAGAACAGCAGGTAGGAGTTACGCAAGCTACAGTCTGGGGCAGGGTTCAGCTATGCAAAAGAAGGGAAGGGAGCCTTTTGGTGATGGAAGGGATGTGGGATGAAGAGTCGACAACTGTCTGTCTGACTCTGAACACAAGGATCACTAATGGAAGAGAACTCCTGACCTCAGCCCAAAACCACTAACTATAGCCAGGGCTTGGTGCCAAGTGCCCAGGCTACCCCTGCTGGGACTGGCTCTGGCTGGAGTCCTTGCCCAGCTGTAGGAGGAAGAGCATGCTGCCAGCAGTGCTCCAGTTCAAAGGTTGCAACTGCTTCGCCAAGTGGAGCCTCAGTCCCAACTCCTGATGGGTGCTCTGGACAGACAGGGGTTCCAGGAACACTATCCTGTTGGCAGAAGGAGCACTGGGCCTGGTCTGTCAAGCTCATCAGCATTTCAGGAGTACACGATGCATCCCCTGTCAGGAACTGTTCTACTTTTATGCTTGCAGTTCCAAGTCAGGAATACTCTGCACTGGCTTTTCCAGCCCTTTCAGTGATGGACAGACGTGAGCAATGAAAGTGTTACACACTTGTGAGCTACCCTGCTGCTTTGCTGGTATATCAGTTGATATTCCATGCAGCATTTGAGGAGTATTCAATATCAGTAAGTTAGATTATTAGCTTCATATGTATCAAAGAGATCCATTAACTACTAAAAACCTTTAACTTTTATCGGAAATAATGGGGATTTTCCTTAAGTGGTCCAAATTGACTCAAGAGGTAGATGTGGAAGCCCTCTCTAGATCATTACTGTTTTGAGTATACTTGGATCTTTTCTGTTGGTAAGAGGAAATTCCAGTACCTAGCAGTGTTGAGGAAAAAAAAAAGAGTTTTGACAATTTCTCTATTTGCCATCAACTGAAATCCTAGGCAATATAATTTTAATTTCTTCAGGATTGAGATGACCACTACAGTCTCAATGGTAGGGCTGAAGTTTGGATGTTTTCTTTCTCTTTCTCTTTCTGAACGTTGAGGGACCACTTCAAAAGATGAAGGCTAAATAGAAATTCAGTTAGGAAAATAAAAAATAAACCCAATAGCTATTGGATTTCAGAAGCTGACGTAAAACACAACAAATCGGTTAATTTACAAATTTACAAGTTTAGATTTCTTAAAATATTATGGTCATACCAAGGGGAAAGGAACAGGAGAAACAGGGAAGAAGGTCCAGGATTAGATAATATATAAGTAGAAAAAAGATTTAAACAAACTGTAAATAACCAGGGTTGTACTTCCACATGTACAGCCCTTGGTTAATTACAGTTCCGCATCTAATCTTTTATTCACCCTGATTTACTAAACATGAAATAGGAGAAATGGAAATGCCAAAAACTTGACTATCTAATAAAACTACCACCTAAGCTGTAAACATATATGCTGAAGAAAAGAAAGAGGACATAAAATAAGAATTAGTTATAAAAGATAAAAGCATATCACACATTCTTCCAACATAATAATGTATCAACTCAGTAGAATCATAATGTGGCTGTCCACATATAACAAAACCAAAACAAACAAATGATGAAATATCAGGATTTCAAAAAGATACCTCTGATCTTTCAGTTACAAGACTGCTTCAAATGTTTAGAGATTTTTAGCTTGGCAAGAAAAGCTACCAGTGTAATATGCATACACGTATTTTTTCAATGCTGCAGTTTACTAAAACTCTTTAGTGTTAATAAGTAAGTTGACAGAGCTCAGATAATTTTATGACACTTTCCAGCTACAACAAAGTATTGATTTCATAATACAGTCTATGGTTTAGAAAGAAAACCAGAATTATAGCATTTCTACAATGACAAGTGAATCAATGCATTTCAAAATTATATTGACTTCTTCAAGGGCAATCAAATCATGAACAAACAATAGTTAGCCTAGTGATTCAGCTTAATTTTCACTATTTATTTTCTATGTAACTAGGATCAAAATTTTGGCACCAGTCTTGCAGATGAACTCTAGGAGTAATTTTTACATATTCTTAAGTACAATATACTATTCTCTTTAGGCTCTATATTTACAGCTGCTATTTAAAAATTCAGTGATCCCAGAGAGGATTCTGTCTTTAAAATCTGTAATACAGCTTCACAACATTCTACTGCATTTGACTAGGGAGAGAAATATCTTCTTCCTCATCAAACAAAATGTTACTTTACGCTGGCCAAAACCCCCACAAACTCTACTACAAAGACAACTTGCATGCATATATGCATATTAAACAAACATTATTGATTGCTTCTTCTAAGACTATATGCTGATGCTATGTAATATTTTTAACAGAATGCTATAAACTCCAAATATACTTTATTTACGTTTCTATGTACGCAAATTGTCAAGGAACTATAACTTTTTCAAATATTTAGGAAGGTAACATTAGGTGTGGACACATACTGACAGACAGTCATCAAAAGTCTTCATTCACTGGCCAAGTTTTATAATTCTAATGGCAGTTGTAGCTTTTGTATGTAGTCATGCAAATGAGACAGAAGAATTCTCATGGACAGAGGAATTCCCCATGATGGAAACTGCATATGAAGAGAAACTCCCTAATTTGAGCTTTGTATTCAGGTCACTGCGGAGACAGCAACTTGAAGATGATCTGTTACTGACGAATTAATGGTAACTTTCATTATTTTCTCAAATATATGCTAGGCTTGAAGGGAAGTGGGGCTTGAGTCAATGGTAAAAACAGTAAGTCAGGAACACTGTCTAAAAGATACGTATTTGATAAAAGAAGGAAAAAACATACCCTGTCACCACCACAAACTATTTCTTATCAGCTAATTAAGAGAAGGAGCATTATTTTTTTAAAAAACAAACAAACAAAGCCACCCTTATAAAATGAGGTAAGAAAAAAGCAAAGGTCCTAATAAAAGTAACACGTCCACAAAAAGAGAGGAAAACCACAATCATTTGCTATTTTATGGACTAGGCACAGCACCACAAGACTTGTGTGATATACTTAACACACTTCAGAGAGGTTAAATCATGACCCAAAACTGTTTAATTTTCTGCACTTCACCTCTCCTCTTCATCCTGTAGCAACCCCTTCCCGGAACTACCACACTACTGACACACACCAGCTGAAAACAGAGGTAAAGAAGTTTTCTTTGTCAACAGCCTGTAGGCTCACAAAATTGAACCTGTTCTTTTATCTGCCTATGTTCATTTAGCCCACCAAGCAGTCTTTATTAAAGCTGAGGCATCAGGCAGTCAAAGTTCATTAATACCATTTATATAATCTCTGCAGTTTCAATTAACTCAGCAAGACATTCTACTACATGATAACAGTCTCATTAATTCAATAAAATCCCATAACTATTAACAATATGGTCTATGTTAAACGGGGTGTCACCTAGTAGAAAATAATAGCTTTAACAGCTTGTGATGAAACACAGGGCTTTTTTTTTTTTTTAAATTTGATCTGGCTAAATATTCCATCCTTACATAGAAAGGTATTATTTCTTGGTAAGGAATCAAGAGGATTTTAAATATGAGCAGAGGGTAATTAAGTCCTTTTAAGTCATATCAAAGAGTAAAATAATACTTCTTGTTCAATAAATGATAGACTAAATTAGCTGGAATGTGTTCTTCCATTTTCCCATCATCAGTACTCTGGCCTGTATTCACTAGAAAGAGGAGGCTGAATACTGCTGAAGTATTTTCTTCAGCAGTGCTCTTCAAAATACAGCTGATAGATCTCATTTTTTCAAGACTACTCCTTGCTCACAGTCTGTCCAACATGAGATGAGAACCAGTTGATAGATGTTTCATATGTTTGATAACTATATATTTGATTTTTGATATAGTCTGTAAGACAGTTCTTCAGAAATAACTGTTCCTTCAACTCATGTATCCTTTATTTCCAAGAAACATCCCTGTTGCCTGGCTTGAGAACAGTGGTCACAGACCATGCCTAAAAGCATAGACTGTCTTATAAAATTCTTCCCATTTACTTAATCTCTGTATTTTTGTCATGAAAAATTTTCTGTCTACCTAAAGTTGTCTGCTGTACAGTCTATCTTTTGTCCATGTACACTGAGTATCCCTTGGTTTGTCAGTCTCTACTCAGCCTACAGATAATTGTGCGAAGAAACAAATACAAATATACTTTTGTTGATACTGTGCATATGTCAGTCTTGCTACAGGAATTTAGATCAAGGTAACACTTATTTCAAAACCATCAGAAAAATGTTAAATTAATTTAGGCTGCATCCCATGTAGATGCACAGTTAGTGCAACTTTAAAGGTTTCTTTACCACTTTATCAAAAATCGTTTGAGCAGACTCTGCTTCAGGTAACACTATAAAAGTGTTATTTTGTAGCAGCCTTATCCTTCAGTCAAGAGGATTTTGTCAGCTGCATTGTATTTGGATGCTACAGAGTTAGATAAAGGATCTATTCACTAAAATAGCACACGGCTTTAGCACTTTGAGGAAGAACTTAAAATAGTGAACTTTGCCTAAATTTCAGAAGTCATTATGCTTTTTGTTTATTCAGTACCATTTTTAATCCTGCCATATACTTTCTTTCTTTACCTAAGCAGAGAAAGCCTTTGATTTTTTCTTTCTTAATCAACTGAAGAAAAAGATGTTTGTAAAGAAATATGAAGTTAGAAAACTTAGCAAGCTTAAAGAAAACAATTTGAGGTACTGTGTTATGAGGAAAAAGCATATGTTATTCAATGAGCTTACTTTTCTTACTATCCAGCTGACAAACAGCTCTTTGATTACTTCAGCATTATGGTAGAACTTCAGATACAACACAGCTACATTATTGTCAAACCATATAGAAAATGTTGAGTCAATGAATGCCACCTGTACAGTATTTTCATTACCTGTTTATAAAGCAACTGCTCATTTTCTCTGGCGTAGCAGAACAGAACATCTGTAAGAATTTTCCTTACATTCTCTTGCTGGAAATACTGCATTTCAGGAAAGCTGAAAATGAAGCAATAGAGTGAAAGTAAACAAAAGAGTGCACAGAATGTCAGTTGCTGGTCTTCTAGGAAAGGTTTTATCTAAGAGCATCTCCCTTGTCTGCTTTCCCACCGCTCTGTGAATTGTGGATGCTGCTAGAGTAAAATACTTCTAAAGAACTGCTACATTTTTTTTGCAACCGAAATTATGAACCATGTTCTTTAATATACATCAGTCTGCTAGAGATATGATGATATCACCAGTTATATTTAAATAACTAATCCCTTTTAATCTTATGAAAGCTAGAGATCTGCAAGAATGAAATACAATGGGAGAAAGGAAGAATGGAAGAGAGTATGTCAGAAGAAGGATTTACACAAAGGTTTAATATTTCATGAATATTTGAAAAAATATTATTATCTAATGACAAGATTATTAAAATATATCATAATTGACATGAAAACCAGTATCCTAGACTCTCATATCTCTTATTGGTATCTGTTGTGATACAATACAATTAGGCATTTCACTGTCTTTAACAACTGTTGCAAATAAACTTTATAATTATGAAATAATTTGATACTCTGGCAGGGTAAATATCCTAAGTAAAATAGAAAGAGGTGGATCTTGTGTGAGAATAAGAAAAAAAAGCTTCTGTAAAAATCCTGTTACATGCATATAACCTAGGAAAATGTAAATATTTTCAGTTTGTGACTACTCTGAAACAACTCTCACCTGTGTATCCTGCTCCTCGACTGTTGGAGGTAGGAAATAAAGTAGTTATCAGGTCATTCTTAAAATTAGAACAAGTGCACAAAGATCTTTTACTGAAGAAGTAACCAGATGCCAAAAAATGTTCCATAAAGCAACCACCTCAAACCACATTGCTCTGCAGCTATACAGAGAAATAACAAATAAAGCCAAAAAAATCTAGAAAGGTAGAATACTAAAAACAAAGGAAAAGGTAAAGATTTTTCTTAGTCTTTCTGGACAAAGAAAACCAGAATACTAAAAAATACAACAGCGGTAGGCCTCAGGCTAGACAGCTGAAATAAAGGGTTTGGTATTGTCAGTTTTAAAATTAAATCACATGGATTGAAGATAAGGTTTCCTCAAGCCAATTTTGTTTTTTTTCCTGTTTCCCAGGTCTGAGCTACAGTGCTAAACTTTAGACCAGTTATATTAAGGTTCTTGTAAAGCCTGTCACAGAGAAACAACATAGGAAATTATAATAAATTACTTCAGATAAGACTATTAGTGTTGATAATTACTGTGGTCATCTCACAAAGGTGCTAGAAAGGTGCTTTGAAATCCCTGGATGAAGGATGTGAATCAAGAGCCAAGGCAGAGAAGACACCGTGGCTTAAATACAGAGATGCTGAAGTCCTGAGAGAGGCACTGGGATGAGAGGTGTAATGTTTTCCTGGCACCTGGTGGAGCTAACAGTAGACCAACATTTGGAAACTTGTATGCACTTGTACTAATCATATTACTGTAAAGGAAGGACACAGCTGAGACCAAAAGTGCATTACAGCAGATGGCAATCGACATAATTTAGGGGTTTGAAGAGATTATTTCTGAAGGACTGTTATTCAGGCCTGCCCTATGAAGTTCAGGAAAATAAGACTAACAAAGAAAACTCAAAAATACACAGAGATATCTGTGAGGATCTAGTAATACCAGAGATTGTGACAGAAAGGATAATAACGAACTCAGAAATAAGCTGGTTGAAGTATTAATTATAGTAAATGTAAATAGAAGAGATCATGAGGGAACTATCAGTTCAGGATGGATTTTTATAGAGAATGTCATTTTATGATTAAAGCTCTGTCTTAGGAAATACAGTATCCTCAAATCAGCAAGGTAAGAACGCTTTTCATGAACACGAGAATATTAAAGTTAATTACACTTCTGAGAAAGACTGCATAAGGACGCGGGAAATTTGCTAGACTGTTTTACCACAACTGCTACAATCAAACAATGGCACATTCAAGTCCCTGCTTTATGAAAGTGAAGACCAGGGTGAGTTAGTTATAATTTTTTAAAACATTCCTTTAGCTAATTTAGGGGCCCCCACACCAGAGGCAGACAGAGTTTGACACAGAAGAAACTCAGGCTGGCAAACAAATAAAAGGATGCACAAAAATTCTCTATGAAACAAATCTGGTGGCAGACAAAAATGAGGCTCTAAACCGCTGCCACGGAGCGACCAGCTTTTCTTCGTGAACAGATTCAATCCCCTGGCATTCCCCAACCCTCTTACTCAGCTGGAAGGGGGAAAGCAACTAACCAGAAAAATGGAAGATGCTCTTGTAACTGCAAAGGTTTAGTAAAGAATAACAACAACTGCCCCCTCCATTGCTCACCTTTTTTTTGAAAAGGAATAAATTGGTGTACAAAGAAAGCTTTCTCCCTTCTAGCAGTTGGTCCTCTTACTAAGATTTTGCCTCCTATGTGCATAATCAATGGACTGCTGTTTCCTCCCATTTCTTCCATACACTTAGGAAGGGTGTACACTACCCTTTTTTATGTTGGAAATTTTTTTTTAACTATTTTTTTTTATTTGGGAGAAGGAGAGTTTTGAACATCAGCACCCACCATGACTTATCTTCACACAGCTTGCACTGTCCTAAACTGTGATTGTTACTCCTGATGCAGAAACTAAGTAGACCAATATGTAAAAATACTACTACAAAAGAGAGAAAATCCACTTGATTAGTCTACTGGGAATGCCCCCCTAAGCATTTTGGTTTCTTAAAATACTGGAAAGACGGTAATGAAATCTAGCCATTTACAATCCTATGCATACAATGTGATGCCAGAAAGTAAACTGGTATTTTGATTTGAGCTAAACACTCTAGCATCTGCCAATCTCCTGATTTCCATTTCTGCAGAATATTTTTTGAAATTCTTCTTTATCACTTCCCTTCTTACTCATCACAAAATAAATCAGCATCGTTCTTTGGTACATCTTTTCAATGACAGTAATTAATCATTGCATTCTTTAGTCTGGTACAAGTTACTACAGTGCTAGTTCACACACACCTTTCTTAGTGGAATAACAGAATGCAGTATTATAGTCATAACTCAGTTTGTATTGCTCAGTTGGTACAATCTACATTTAAAGTAAGGTTTTTTTGCATTATAGTAAAATTCCCTTACCCTCCTTCCCACCCTCATTTTTAGAAGCCTCTCACTTGAGACAGAAAGACATGGTGTTTGGTTCCAAATCAGAAGTACACATTTCTAGACAGCTGAAGGAAAAATCATTCTGAACCTCTCAACAACTGTAAAAAAATAAATCAGGAACTAAATCAGCCAATTAATGAGAAATATTGATCACTAATGAGTTAAGGCTAACTTAACAATATCCTCCCCTCCTTTCCTTGTAAATATTGGACATTATTATTATGCAACAGGCAAAAAATTGTATGTAAACATTATAGATTGCATTTCTCTCACCTAACCTTAGGACACTACAGTTTTGTTAGGCACCAGTGAACTGGAAGCCTTTTGTAGTTATTGAAGAAAAACATACTTCTCTACAATGTGACTTACCAGACTAGACTTTTACTTTAGGAAGAGTTGATTTGTGTCCTAGAATTCTATGGGTACATAGACTCTACAGCATGATTAGCCCAGTTGTGAGTGCAAGGGTTTTACAGATCTAATTATTAGGTGAGATAAGGATTCTCAAAATGCATAGGAACACACATGCACACACAAACAAGCTTTATCACATTTCCTTTCAGATAACAAAATCCTGAAATTTAAACTAATTTAAACCAATACGAATTTTAACAGCATAATTCTAGCCACTTTTCCTGCCTATTCTTACTTCAGGGAATTTGAACAAAAACATTATAGAGCAAATATTTTACTGCTTTGATAGCTGGGACTCTAGTTTGCTACTCTCTGTGCAGTTAGAACCACTCTCTACAGCATTATTTACTTGATGCTGTTGGATGATGGAGGACTGAACTAGATGACAAAGAATATAAAAATATTAATTAAATTCAAACACCAGGAATTGATTTAAAGAACGGAAATGAAAAGAGAGGGTATTTACATTCCATAACCAAGGAATGTAGAACTTACAGCTTCTTACACTAATTATAGTTTACAGATATATGTGTATACGTAAAATGCACACCTTGTTTTATGATTAGGCAAACAACAAGTGTACATATAAATGCATGTAGTTTATCAAATACATTCATGTCACTGAGAAATTTTGCTTCTTCGTTGCCTGACTCATTTTACTATTGATGACACAATGTATACCGCTATTGTTTCAAGTAGATATTATTTTGTATAAATACATAAACGAAAATTTCTTTTATCACTACTACTAATATTAGTGAATACTGCTCTGCCTAGTACTCTGCCATTTGCCACAGTGAGAGCCCTGACTTTGTGTGTGTATATATATATTTTTAAATAATAGTCTTACATTTACCATAACCTCTATACAACTTTTCATTCTCCAATTATAGTTTAGATATGTATATATTTTAATCTTAGAACATCCTGAACTGTTTCCTTTAACAAACAAAAAATACCATCTGTTGTGAGAATGCACATGAAAGTATACTCAGATTTTAATTATACATCTCATGGCAAAATGCATTCAAGAATGGGTCTAGGGACGGACATATAAAATATTCCAAAACCAGACAGCAATGATTTCTTCCGCATGACTTGGTTTCTGTAAATGAAAATGTGTGAGCTTGGGATTTGTAAAATCTATGACTATCGCCACTTTTTTTCAAGTTATAAGGAAAAATATTTGCAATACAGTAAAATTTCACATAGTAGCAAATCAGTAATTGAATTTAATTATGTTTACATATCACTCAGTGCTTCCACTCTGAAAAGAAATATTTTCAGGAACTGAGTATTGTAACTCAAGGAACTTCCTAATCAGGAATGACCTAAGGGCCAAGAAGATGAAAAAATAATCACAGTAATATTAGGACAAATTTTAAAAGGCATATGTGACAAATAACACTAGAAAAATGATAAATAAAAATACAACTGCTCAACTTCTACAGATAAATGATATTTCCCTTACTAATTACAAACTGCTTTTTTATTATTGATTGAATTAAGTGTTGAGAATTAAGAAAGTAATCTGTTCAGTCTTTTATTATAATTATAATTTAGTTGAAAGACCTTTCGGTTTCTTTTACCTTCTCTTTGCTTCATACAGAAAACTACTTTAAATTTCACACCGTAGTATATCTCCTAATATCTTAATTTAGAAGAGCTTTTCTTCAATGATACCAATAAATCTCCAAGATTTAATGTTCAACTAGATTTTCTCATTTTTTACTCCATGAAAGCTGTATTTTTATACATTTAATGTATGTTTCCACACATTCATGTTCAACAAACCTGACATTTACAGTAACCAAAATCAGGAAAACACTGTATAACATATATCACATAAAAATGCAGACTATAAATTTATATAAAGAAATTTCTTTAAAGATCTACATACGTTCTTGTCACATCTTGTTCAATCATTGCTCGAAGCTCTTTATCCTGGAAAAATTTATTCCAAAGACTCTGAAATAAGGAAAAATAATTGTATGAAACCTAATACTTAAAGCTTATAAACTACATCAGCAAAGTACTGTACAAATATTAACTAATTAATCCTCAACATTCCTGGTAGATAGGTGTATCAATATTATTACAGGTGATAAAAAATGTTGGTGCTCAGCATAACATATCTGAGAAAGTCAACTTAGATCAGAGATAAAAACATTCAAGTTCCTGGATCCGTGTTCTAGGCTCATTCCATTCGCTCACTGGCTTCAGGTTTGTGAGCTACCGGTATGGAGGCGTACAAAGAATATTTAGAAAGGCAGAGTAAACTCAAACTTGCCAGAACCAGCAACTCAACCGAAAAAAATTCAGTTACTCACTCTAAGAAAAAGGTCCATAACACCATTTCTCCTATGAATGTACGGACTTTATTGGAAGCTGCTATAATATCCATAATAAGATACTGTTTGAAAACAAGCTAGTTTGTTTGAGTGGAGGCAAAATCAAATAAGGAATGTATGATGATCAAATACGTATTATGAAAATGACATCATTCTAATACATAGTGAAGATCAAGATTGGGCATTCTAAAAAAGTCCTGATAGGGAAAACCACAGTGTTTAAAGCTCACTGCAGTATAAAAAATATTAAATAAAAGAATGCAAAGTAGGTTTAGCCTCTTCTATAGCTGTTTCTGTGACCATTTTCATCCTCTTTCTTTCATTTCCGTGTTTTGTTTACAAATATGTTGTAAAAGCTAACCTGAAAGAAGTCAGAAAATGCTGTTAATTGTACGCTCCAGAAGGAGTATTGCAAAATGTATTCTTTATTGTAAAGGGATGGTAACTTGGTCATATGGATCAAAATACAGAAAGAGCAAAATTTATACTGGTCTTCATGTAGATTAGGTTAGTTTTCAGATAGCATCAGCACCAGTGAATGAAATACTGTACAAAGGGAGTGTCTACAATACTTCAACAATTTTTTGCTTCCCTGCAAACAATTCTTTGCCATGGTGGTTTATGCTCCACAGAAAGCAAAGAGAAAGTAAATTACTGTTATCTAGTGAGAGGAAGGTAAAACAGAAAAAAGGAAAATGTTAATTATCTTCTATATTTGTGTTTCAACTAGGAAAACCCCCCAAACTTTAAAAGCATTTATATCCTTCACAATGTCTTACATAAAGTATCTCACAACTATTTTCATGCAGCTAGATCACACTTGAAACTCCCCTGTCCCTGCTCCAATCCTGGTCCTTTGGAGCAAAGGATGAAGGAAACAGAAGCTGCCTTGCGAAGAGGAAGGAAAACTTTGAATACGCTGGATGGGTATAACATCAAGTCATGGCAGAGGCTCAAAGGCACTTTGTTCTTCATTCCTATGTCTGATTTGGCCTGTAACTTTGTTTCACAGGTTAAACCCCTCCCACATACTCTGACATGTTAACCTTTGTCTTCTATCTCCTAAAGACAACCACAGGCAGAAAGAAGATAGTATTACTGTGTAAAATCACACACTACAGCAGAAACACTTTAAATCTTCTACATTTGACACAACTTTCTGTCCAGCTGGATGCAAGAATAGTTTGATGACGTGCACAGTTATACCAGCTGCAGAGCTTTCTCCTCCTAAATTAAATAAGAAGCACAGTACCACACTACAAACAAAAGTATGGGCTTCCGTTTGCGGACAAAAGAGTAGTATCATCAAAGAAATCTGACAGTCTTTTCAGGTGTAAATCTCTTAAATGCAGACTCTTAAATGCAGCTTCATGGTATTAAGTTATCTTAAAAATTTGATAAAAAAGAATTTCGATAACAGAGAAGCTTACAGATATGTGCTATAAACTACTTGAAAAACTTTTCAGGTATAACAAAAAGCAGTAAAAAACCTAAAAAACCTCCAAGGCTGAACAGTCTTCCAGAGGAGGGTGCTTCACTATTTGCTGTTAATTCACTTCATATTGACTGTTTAAACACTCCTTAAACTAGAGCCATTTTATGTATAAAATGAAAACACAGTGATAAAAAGCACATCAGTTAAAGAAAGGATTTGCTGTGAAACTGTACTTATAGTCCAGCACTGATGTTTTGTTTATCACAGTCTGCCCTGAGAAAAGCCCTGAACAATCAGAATAGCAACATAGAAATGAGCATTTCTAGCTGTTCAGCAGAACCTGTGAACCAATTGTTAACACAAGCCAGTTTGGATATTTAGGAGGGAAATCTTAGCACCTGCCGTTTTGCCTACTTCAGCAAGAACTCCCTTGTGTCAGTATGAAGATGATGAGAATTTTAGGAGTATGTGTTAATAGAACCAAGGGTCAACCTACCCCCTCGTCCTGAGAGAGTGGATTGTTGATTATCAGGTCCTGCTGTCCTGCTTTCCGAGGGTTTGTAATGTGCTAGGTAAAAACAGAAAAAAAATCAAATCTTCTTCTGTTATACTGTAAGTATTAATATCTATGTCAAAGTATGAGAATAGAGTTTTGTACCAACTTACAATTTCTTTGATCTTATTGTAAGAAGTTCTTAAGTCTGAAGTAGTTTTAATCCATTGACTTCTATCTTGGGGTAGAACCTCTAGAAATAACTATCAGCAAAACAAAATAAATTCATTAAATTTCATCAATTTTACATAGCTTTTCATATAAATCCTACCAGATAGCATACACTGTCTCAGAAAGAAAGAGAAAGCAAAGACCTATAAAATACTCCTGATTTTAGTACTTTCCCAGCCATCAATAAGTAGCTAGAAACAATAGCAGTTCTATGGTGTGAAATAAAAGCATTAGAATTGACTGAAGCCACAAACTCAAGCTTTGTAAATTGTTGTAATTTCAGTAAAGTTGATTCAGACTTCCAAGGCAGACACAACACGGAAAGAGATGAAAATAAAGATAGAAAACTTTATTTACATAACACTGATGACCTAAAATAAAGATAGAAAACTTTATTTACATAACACTGATGACCTAATGCAAGGTGCTTAAAACCAAACATGAATGTAGAGCAGAAACTAAGCACTGAAATACACCCTACCTAAGAAAAGAAACAAGTTCTAGAATTCTGCAAGACAGTTAAGTCAACTTTGCGTCCTTGAGAATGCCTACATCTCAGATCTTTCACATGCCTCTTTAAAAAGGGTTAGAAAGAAACACCCATTGGAAAATACTTTTTAATTGCATATGAAACAAGTTAAAAACCCGTATTTTCTTGCTTTTTAAATGTTTTCATTTGCACATTGTAAGGTGCTAAGTGACAGTAAATACTGACAAACAAAAATTTCCTAAATTACTAAAAAAATCCCTTAAGATTTCAGAACTTGACAAAAATATAGATAATATTTTTAAAACAGAGCTCTAACCCATACTGGGACATGTAAATAAACCTGCCTTATTTCTAAAATAAAACCACTCCTTGATTTAACTAGTTGACAGTGAAGGACTTGATGCTTTTGTTAGTTCAGGGTTTTGAGTTATGACCTCCTAATTTAGAAGCTCAAAAAGTAGCAAACTGGTAAAACAATGTTTGTGGCATATATTCATCTGGCTTCCTGAATAAAGTATTTTCAATAATTTGAAATTAGTTCAATGCTACATACATTTTAAATTTCAATTTTCCACTGCCTTTCATTCATATACAAAGAGTATTTTATATTTCTTTTTTATAGGTCACTGTGCCAAAGTGATGCTTGAGAAATTCCAAGTGAGGTAATTTAAATGATCAGAGTTAACATACAGCAACTCTACCAGGGAAAATGTTCTCTACTATCATAATTAGTGCACAACAGAAGACCTGATGACAGTGCAACAAAATTTGTTTGGACTTTGTATAGCATTTCAGTATTAGCTTGCTTTCCTTCTCTCTTCCTTCCCCTGTAAATAAAATACAGTAAAAGACTCCCAAAGACCTGTTGTGTTTCTAGAAGAACTGGCATCCCTCTCCATCCAGACCAATCCAAGAGGGGTTAGTCTTAATTTTCTCATTTCACTAGGAAAACCTGCTAGCAAAAGCATCAGATTGATTTTAAAGAAGTCCCAATTCCACAAAAAAAATTTTTTTAGGCAAACTTCCTTTCTATTTCCAGCGCATGACTTCACCGCACAGATACTGAGGAGAGATGGTTGTATAGCACTCAATTCTAAACATACCACCAGCACAAAGGTATTCTTCCCTAGGAATCATTTCCTATCACCTGCAATTCAGCTTTAAAGCAACTTGATGTGGTTAGCAAATGTTCTATGAATTATAAAAATGAGTAGGAAAACATTGGGATGAAGTCTCTTGGAAAATTCATGATTCTTTGCATCAATAATCTTCCAGCACATCAGGTAATGTGTTGATATATTGCAACCACAAACTGTAAATAAATATTTTCTCTTCTTACCTTCCAGCAAACACTACGGAACCTGCTGCTTCTCAGCTGCCCATTAATCCCCTTCAGCCGTATAGTTGCCAAGTAATTGTTGTTTACAAATAGTTCTTCCCATTCTTTACTGCAAAAGCAAAAGGAATGAACATTTAAACAAAAAAAAAAGCCTTAGCTGATTTAAGGACTATACGACACTACACAATTTAGGATAAGCAGAGGAAAGGAACTTTTTTTAAATGTATATATTTAGTTGTGTACCACTTCTAAACGCATGGCTGTTTTTTTGGACACATTTCTTCTTTGGATTTAATGAATATGTAGATCGCTATAATTATGCCAGCTACTGAAATTCATAATGTCTATGGAGGCTATTCCATTTCCTCTAAAATGTTGGTACTGCAGTTCAGTGAATAAACAAGAAAAATGAATATTAATATAAGCACATTCATGTTTCAGCTGTAGACAAAGAAGTACCTATTCCAAAAATATTCAACAGAAAAGTATACTGTTGACTGTATTAGCTCTTCACATGACGTATTTGCTTAAATGAACCTTCTTTTCTTCTTAATGTCAAGCTGGGCAGTTAAGCATCATAGAAGATGACTTTCTTCAACATTTAGTGCTATTTACTATTGAAATCACTTCTACTTCTTTCTACATGATCAGTTTTAAAATTTTAACAGGTGCTAGCAAATTTAAAAAAAAACATCAAAAAATTAAAAAGCCTCACTGTATAAACTGTTAAAGGCAAGCTTGAGTACCTTGCAGTACCTATGGCTGACTAGATAAACAACCTAAATATGCCTCCCAGGCATGCAGGCACCAGGGGCCTAACACCTGTGCCTCATTAATATACAAGTAAATCTGCTCTACTGGGAAACAATTGGAAATTAATTGTCCCAAACCATCTACTGAGTTTGAATAAAAGAATTAAACCTATATTTCCTGCACCTTCTACTGAAATGAATCTCAAGAACAGTATAAGCCATCTAATAGTCTTAGTAGCCCAAGACTTGCTCACAGACTTTCTGCAACCACTCTAAAATCCAAAGGGCAATTTCAAGGTAAAGAGCTGGGTTATGTACAAGGAAATGTGTTTCAGATTTATTTTCGATGCATGTCCTTAAGGTGAACGTCTCCTTCTCTCCTTGTCACATGGGAGACTATTACCTCTCCCTGGGAAAGGAGTAATGAAACCAGGAAGAGGGAAACTACTATTATGACTCCAGGCTAAGATCTCATCAGATTTCCTTCACTAAGGAGGGTCACAGAGTGGGTTATACCAAGTACTAGCAAACTTTGGTTTTGCAAATTGCCCATAATATATGCAAGATGAAGTTATATAGTTTTCAGTCTTTTAAGCGGAATTGTGAGAGTGAGGTTTTTAAAATGTAATTATAAGACAGAGTCGCTGAGAATCATTGAGGAATGGACTTGGTTAGCCAGGAAATAATGATCATTTTTCTCTGTGACAGGAGCAACCTCACAATCTATGCCGAGACCAAAAGTGTTGTGTTTGTGAATGTACCACATTTCAGCTAGGAACATCTTCTAAAAAAAACCCCAAATAAAAAAAATAGTGTGTTTACTTCTGGATCTTGATTATTAATTACTTTGAAAAGTGAGGGTAAAGATGACTAAGGCTGTGACAGCCTGCAGGGCTTAGGGCTGCCCTTAGCTTCTCCCAAATGCCAGTATCCCCAAATGACTGAAAGAGCAGCAAGTTGTTCCAATGGTAGGGGGGCAGCTTCCTTCATTCACCACATCCCTCATTATCCAAGTCAGAAAGACTATCTGGTAACTTTTGTCTCCCTGTCTCCCACACATCCTCATCTTCTGCAGGGAGCTGCCTGCGACTGTTTACCATGATTCTGTCTCCTTTAAATACAACGTATGGTATATAGCAGACACAGCTTGAGAAAAATCTGGGCCTTTCTTTCGCAGTCATTTATACTTCAGTAGCTACAGTATATTATGCCTATCTAAATAACCCTCCTGTTTCTATCACATATCATATTCTTCATTTGCCATTGTAAATTTCGTAGCATCATTGGCCATTACAACTACTGCCAAGCTGCCTCCCTAAGGTAGCTATGTTTCAAGAGTGACACATTCCCCTGCGCACACAACAGGTCAGACTCTGAAGCTATTCGCATTGTTCTCCAAGTGGATGACATTCCCACAATGTCTTTGAAAATGCCGGTGTGTCAGCTTGAGTTAGCAAAAGGTTTCAGACAGTGTGACTCCGAAGAGAAAGAGAAGAGAGGAAAGAAACTCTTCAGGTTATTTTTCTCACCAACTGCTGGATGCGATTGCTACACAGTAAGAAAGTAATTTCAACGCTTCTGAAATTGTATTAGGGCAGATATTATGCCTTTTTTTTTTTTTTTTTAATTTGTAATGCAATTCCAAACATGTTTTGAACCAAATTACATTTAAAACAGCCAAAAGAAATTTGGCAAGATCATATCTCCTCTGCATTCCCCCTTGGCTGCTGGGATCACTAAAAAAAAGTTATAAGCAACTGAAAAAAAAATTATTTGGAAGCTGGAATCTGCTTCAGTTTTAGTAGAGCTGAATGATACTTAAAATCCTTTCTGAACAGCATTCACTAATTCACATCTCAAATATTCTGAATGAAGGCTAATAAAATAAGCTTTACAATTCTAGAGATTGCTTTAACAGTGGCGACACTGTGTAATATCAACAAGCAATCAATTCTAAAAAGATAATATTTAAAATTATATAGCCCTACTATGCAAAATAATAACTAAGAGCCTTGTTAATCCAGGATTGCAGAAAACCCATTGGTCAAAGTGAAATGAGCAATGAAGCTTGGAACTTGAGTCTGCCACACCCCATTTGCTTCACTGAAGTGAAAGACTTCAAGAGCCAATTGGAACCACCTAAACTATGAATAAGCACATGTAACTGTTTTTAATCAAATTAGAAAATTAAATGCATAATCAGGTGTTAATACCACCTTTAGGCTGTACAATTAAAACAAAGGCAAATGTTTTCTGATTATTTTATAAATATTTTTCATTTTAGATTCTTATTTTATAAATATTTTCATTTTAGATTCTTATTTAACTATTCTGTCTAATATTCTATTGTACATGTTGTAAATGTATATATCTATTATTCATAATAATTGATACACATAATATAAGACCTGTATGAGGAAAAAATTACTGGATCAACATTTCTTTAAGAAACTTAATTTCTCATGCTATATCTATCAGTAACTGTCCAATGTAAAATATTTACTGGCATGAGTTAGGGACAATTGCATTACTTCAAAGTGGGAAAAGTGCTCAATATGTATGAATGGAAAAGCAGGCAAATCAATGGAAGGGATGACGGTTGCAGATTCGTTCTGCAAGATTTGTTCATAGTTCTCATCTGTTCCTTTCCATCTTATGAAACATACACTTATGTCATACCCACAAAAGTTTAAATCTCTCTGCCAAAAAATTTTAAAGTGTGGTCTGCTGTAATACACACACTTTCTTTCTTATAAGAAATGAGGTTGACCTCTGAGCAAACCATATATATAAGCATATTTTTCTCTTTCTTTCCAACAGGAAATGATTTGTGGATATGATTCTTGTTAAGACAATTACAAACATCAGATTTTTATATATAAAAGTTTGAAGATTTGGAACAAAAATGTCTCCCTCAATTGACTGTTAGAAGGGAGCACAATGAGCAGCACTTTACATCAGAAAGTCTAAGTAAAATTTTACGTGCACTTAAATACCATTTTTGAAAAGGTATTTGTATACCTAAGGTCTAGCATCTTAGTAAAAGACAGTGAGCTGGTGCAGTGTTGGAAAGAGGTAACAAAGAGTTTCTTCCACTCATAGGCAGAAGCAGAACATCCGTCTCTGGCTCTGCTGCTAAATTTCAATCTGCAGCATAATGGTAAAACCAATACATCAAGCATAGATATGTAGAAGAATGGCAGCCTACCTAAGCTCCTTTCAAAATAAACACTCTGTTCAGAACAGGAAGAAATACAGTTGAGGGAGAATGGTATAGCATAGACAGTAATTACTGCTGCTTAACTTCTGCATTTACCAATTTAGAGGATAAAGCTGGTGATACGTAAGAATGCAGATCCTGCTGAAGTTTAAAGCTAGTGCAAGAAGTATTTTTGTACTATGATGTTCAGACAACACCAAACTCTGTGGAAGACAATCATCATCATGGCTAGGCTTTGTGAATGAAGATCTGGGAAGGAATCTACCCACGTTTGTTACAAGCGCGTTGGTGGCTAAAAAGGCCAATACGAGATAGACAAGTCCGGTTGCAAAAGGCACAGCAGAAGGACTCCTTAGGTGGTATATTCTGCAAGACACGATTCTTTCTGTGTTGGTGGAAGACACTAAAACTCATAGAAATGTAAAAATGTGAACAGTCACACTAAACTATAATATACACCACTGAAAAAGGGCAAAGATTCAGTTCTGTGACTGCAGGGGCTCAGGTAAATATTATTGTCCATAACTACTTCACTTTCAGGTGAAATTGCAGGTAGCAAAGAAACCAGCATATATCAAGTCATCAGACAGTGTGTATCATTATTTTGTCTCATTCATTTTTAAAATATTCCATGCTAAGTTTTGAAATCCTTTTTTGTGTCCATGATGAAACAAGACCAATTTAATACTTACAACAACATTTAGATAACAAAGAATATTTCTCAGTCCAAAGCAGAATACTGCAATACTAACGAAAGGTACGAACATTTGCATACATATTTGAGATTTCAATCTAAATCTCAAGCTTATGCCACTCTCTACATGAATATTAAAGGATAAAATGGATAGCCTCATAGAGATCCAAAGAAAATTCTTGAGCAGTGCTGCTAGTATTGGCAAAATCATCTTAAAATAATGGTGTGTGTGCTTCCAGAAAAGCCAATTTCATGTTTTTATACTGTTTTTTGTTCATCTTCAGAATGTGCTTTTTAAAATGTTGAGACCCAAACCTGGCTCCCCAGAGGCACTCAATGAAGCAACAGGCTACTGAGCAGGGCATCAGAAAGAAAACAAATTCTCAAATTATTGTGTCATATGTTTTGCAATATGAGGTATTTATTGATAGGAACTTTAATAA